TTTTTTTGCATATTTCTAAACATTTGCCTATTATTTAGACCAAAAACTTCACTCAAATTCTGCTTATTTTGAGCGAGAGAGAGAGAGAGAGAGAGAGAGAGAGAGAGAGAGATTTCAATTGACCAATTTATAAATATATTTGGCCATTGGTCAAAGTGACCAGCGGGTAATTGACTAGTATATATATAAAGCAATATTATATACTTGTATATAGCAATATATTGTGTATATATAGCAATATTAAGTATGCCATATACAGTAAGTAAAAAATCATAATGATACTTATAAGATGTTTACGTCAATTGTATTATGTACCTTCAAAAATGACCCCGTTCTCGGTGTATTCACGGATACCAGTCTTTACGGTGATGGCACCCCTGGCGATCTGTTTGGGCAAATCGTCGCTACATACTGGGCCCCGGGAGGCGAACCTGTGCTTAGGCATCAGGCCGTATAGCTTGTGATTGAATAGCGCATAATTAAGGTATGTTGTGATGAGTCGATTGCCAATTAGGTGCGTACAGCCCTCAAACAGCCAACGCAACGATCGTCTCAATACAAACACATCGCTGGGCAAACCTTTCAGAACCGTACGGCTCAGTACCCAACACCCGGTGCGCGACGATAGGTACACCTGTTTATGAATATACAGTACATTTACAGATTATAATTATTTATTAACAATAAATCCTATGGAAGTCACTCCAAAAAAAGTTGAATCCATAGCTAATAAGTTGTAAGTGAACTAAAGGGAAAATATATTTTGAGAGGGAAAATCTTCCAAAAAAGTGTCTAACATTACATGTATGTAAATATTAATGACTTACTTTTTTGCACACTTTAGACAACTCGACAGCGATATCAATGCCGCTGTTGCCGACGCCCAACACAACCACCCGCTGGCCCTCAAACCCAGTCGTGTCCGACAATGCGTTTACATGAATGACATTTCCAGTATATAACTCACGATTTTTTATATCCGGTATAACTGGCCGATGAAAACGTCCGGTGCATACAATCACGCCATCAAACACTTCGTCAAACACCCGGTCGTTGTCGATGTCGCGCACCGTTAGCCTCCATCGGCCCGTCCGGTCGTAGTCTGCGTTCTGTTGGCAACCGATTAACTCGTGTCTGAGTTTCACGTGATCTTTTAAACCGATTTTCTCCGCATATAACAACAGGTATTTTCTCTATTAAAATATAAACATTAATGATATATAAACAAATAATTCGATTTTAATTAATTAATTTAATAATTTTACGCCACAATTGATCATGTAAAAATTAACGCAAACATATAATTATACCCAAATTGAATGATGCATAAAATTAGGATAGTTTTCGGGCGCCGGAAAGTCGGAGAAAGCGGTAATCTCTTTGCTAACGTTGAGCGTAGTTGTAGTCAACAGTCGGGCGCCGCTCTCCTCTCCGCCATCGGTGGCAACTCTTTCATCCCTATTAGCCCACAGACCGCACAGACTGTCAGACCTCTCATACACGACCACAGCGTCAAAGTGCTGTTCCCGACAGGCGTTGAACGCACCCAAACCCGACTGACCCGCACCGATGATCGCTATGCGTTTGCCCGACATTTGCGTATAATTTGTATAATTCAATAGTTTATACTTTAAACAATAACAAAATTTATTGATAGGTTAGTATTGGTAACAAATTTGTGTTACGTACTGTACCTGTATTAATTTTATATGCCAAATAAAACACTTAATTTAGTCTATTTTATTTATATAGTTTATAAATGCCCCCGAATAACCTTATTTATAATAATTATTTGCCTTCAAATTATTTTGCTACATTTTCCCTGTTAGCTATAATTAATCTTATTCAGGTAAATTTATTAAACCTTTCATAGTTTTTATGCATCATTATCTATTATTATATAATATATTTTATTTAAAAAACAAAGTTATTAATTTGCAATAAACTTTGCATAATATAAATATTTATTAGTATAAATTGCAGTAAAATTTTAAACAATAGCTATTAAATGAATTACAAAAAGTTTATAAAGTAAAATAAAATTTACATGTTTATTTGGAATTGAAACTAATATGGTCCAGATTATTGACCATACATTAGTACATTTGTGAGACGCCAAAGAATGCTCGCATTTAAGCATATTTGATAAAAATATAATAATTTTATAAAATTGATATTGTGTAAAAACACAAATTTAAATAGGCATTTATTTAAAGTATATTATTATTTAACAATATATTGTAGGTAAAACATGATTATTAAGAAATATTGGACAATTAGTAAGGCAACAAATTATATGTTTGCACGTGTTTTAAATGGGGCTCTAATCCGATGATTAACAGTGAGTATAGTTTTCCTGGCGTCGGGCCATGAATTGGGACCTATTAAATAAATAAATACCATATTGATTATTATTACGCTAACCGTTATATCATAATAATAATAAAAATATATACCATTCAATCGATACTGAAAGGGAACGCAGGGACCAAAGTATAAGTGCCACCAAAGCTTAGGGTCAGTGAACGCATACTTCCAGAGATGGGGTTTAACACCCATTTCGACGGCCAATTCGTTCATATATTTAAGATATTGGACTTGATTTGTATTGTGAGGGAAGTGTCGGCTAACCCACGCCTTGTGGCGTTTGATATCCCGGAGCATACGTTTCTCGGACGGCAATCGGCACCTGTCGGCCATCAGTAGCGCGAAGTGCCGCGACTGGTGCTCTGTTAACGGATTGGCAGCGCTGGTCACCGGTAAGGCGTTACTCGTTATGCCCAGAGTGTGCGCGTGTTTGAGGTGTGGGTAAAACATGTATTTGTATAGCTGTAAGTCTGGGTTCAGCTCCGGGCGTAACTCCTCCGGCAAAAATGGGAACGACTGGTAATAACCCGTGCCGTATATGACGGCATCGCACGGCGTCTCAACCGTTTCCCCTATTTATAACGTATTAATAATTAGATATTTGAGTAAAATTGAATTTATTTACATTAAAAATCTTATCAACTTATCATTACTCATAGGGTTAGTATTGATCTACCAATATAAATTATGTTTAAAAAATAATTACATACAATCGTACATTTTAATTTAATTTAATAGTAAAAACATAACAATACAAACATACCTTCAAATATGACACCGTCCTTGGTGAATTCCTGAATATTAGTCTTTATAGTAATCAAACCTCTGTTAATATAAATGGACAGTTCATCACCAAATATCGTTTGCTGCGAAAACAGCCGGTGCTTAGGCTTTAGGCCATACAGCTTGTGGTCAAATTGCGTAATGTTTAGATATAGTGCTATCAGTCGACTGGCCATTGGGTACGTCCAGCCCTCGTATAACCAATGAAAACAACGTCTTAAACCGAAAGTGTCAGTCGGTGTGCCCTTAACTGCGGATCGGTTTATTATCCAACACCCGGTGCGCGACGATAAGTACACCTATATTTATAATTTCATCAGGATCAGATCACTAAAATATATCTACTCTATCTATAATACTTTGTATTTAGGTATATAAAGTATATAGTGTATGTACTTTATTATAAAATGCTTACTTTTTTGCATACTTTTGCCGATTCCACAGCCGCATCGATACCAGAGTTGCCGACGCCTAACACAACCACCCGCTGGCCCTCAAACTCATTCGCGTCCGACAATGTGTTTGAGTGCACAACTCGTCCATTAAATAATTGTCTATTTTTTATGTCCGGTATAATCGGCCGATGAAAACGTCCGGTGCATACAATCACGCCATCAAACACTTCGTCAAACACCCGGTCGTTGTCGATGTCGCGCACCGTTAGCCTCCATCTGCCCGTCCGGTCGTAGTCTGCGTTCTGTTGGCAACCGATTAACTCGTGTCTGAGTTTCACGTGATCTTTGATACCGATTTTCTCCGCATATAATGACAGGTATTCTCTCTATTTTAAAAAGTCATATTCTATTATTGTTTTCAAAATTAAGCATTTTTGAATTCAATCAAATCAATTAAATACTCTATTATTGATTATTAATTATAACAAATTATATCAATAATTAAACATAATAAACATTACCATATCCGAGTGATGCATAAAATTGGGATAATGTTCGGGTACCGGGAAATTAGAGAATGCGGTCATCTCTTTACTAGTGTTGAGTGTTGTGTTTCTCATTAGACGGGACGTCCCCTCCCCGTTGTTTTCCCCGCTGTCAGCCCTATTAGCCCACAGACCGCACAGACTGTCAGACCTCTCATACACGACCACAGCGTCGAAGTGCTGTTCCCGACAGGCGTTGAACGCACCCAAACCCGACTGACCCGCGCCGATGATTGCTATACGTTTGCCCGACATTTATCTAGTAATTAAAAATAGTTTTTTAATCAAGATTAGTTTAAAATATTAAATTTTAAGTAAATCTAAACTTAAAATTAACATTAATATTTGAATTGATATTTATTTAATTTGTTTATTAGTTTATATATCATAATAAACATGAAAATTTTAATGAAATTATTAATTTAAATTTTATGGTATGATAATATATATATATAGTGCAACTTCTCTATAATGAACGGCCAGTTGCACGACAAAAGTGTTCATTATAGGGAGGGTTCATCCAAGGGAGGTTCGAGTAAATATGTATTATTTTTGATAAATATTTATAAATAATAGCAATTATTGAACAGAATCAGTAATTTTAGTTTGTTTAGCTATATTTAAGTGACAATTAAATGCATTAGTTTTATTTTTGTCCAATTGTTCAAATATTTGACCATCGGATGCGTCTCTAGATATAAAGTAATAATTTAAAGTTCACTAATCAAAGAATGAATACACATCTTTTACAATATTGATATAAAAATGTGATTTTGTTTGTTTAAAGTCTTAGATTAGAAACTATTTTGAATCTTTTTAGATATTATTTGCTTATTATTATATTTGTTCATTATTAGGAGTGAAAGTTTTATCTTAATCTCTATAAATCCGTTCATAATGGGGAGGTATTCATTATGGAGAAGTTTACCTAAGGGAGGTTATTTTAACATTATAACCATAGGAAATCCATACTATATTTCAAAAGCGTTCATTATGAGGAGGTGTTCATCCAAGAGACGTTTACCCAAGAGAAGTTGCACTGTATTTAAATTTTCTAAGAATTGCGTTAATATTTTACTGATTTTCCTTATAATTAACAATTTAAATATAATCCAAACGTCAATTAGTTTATGACCATGTTTATATTATATAATAAAATAAAATTAATTAAAATTATTTCTTATTTACTCAGTTTAATATTAACATGAGTATAATTTTTAAATTTTAATTGTTTTGATATTTTGACAAATACATGATAAATTCTATAATAAAATTTAATTAACATTAATAACCCACCTTAATCCATAGTTATATTTTTATAAATAATTAATATGCAATTTTTAATCTTAATTATTTTATTCATAAATATTTTAACATACATGTATTAATATATTAAAATATAAGAATAATGTTAATTTTTATAATTTTTCTCTAAAATTACCAAGTAATTAAATCATATAATAAATAAGTTTTGTATTTTATTTAACATTTTATTTTACAAATTTGAATATTAATTAAAGATACACAAAATAAAATATGTCAAATAAAAGTTTTTCACAATTTATTTCATAAATAAACATAATGATTAATTGATTCTGTAAATTAATTGCATGTTTAATTAAAGGTTAAATTACTAGTTTCTTTTATAAGATTTATATTTTATTAATTTTACCTAGTTAATTAAGATACAAAACTTATTTGTTATAAATGTAAAATTAAAACCATATAATCATTATAAAGTAGATATAATTATTTGTTAATTTAATTTAATCATTAATAATTACAAAATTATTATTAAATGAGAATGATTAATTTTAAAACAGATCTCAACCCTTTGTAATCTGAAAAATATAATATTAAAACATATTAATTACTGCTCTATTATAGGCTTAACAACCGATACGATCACTGAATATGTCTTATCCCATGCGTTGACGGCGTCGGCGGTCATAACATTTGGACCCAATTTGTCGGTCAATAATCCAAACAAACTTGTCTTTAGATTCATAAACATCTCAGCCGTTGTCTTATGTCTGATGTGATTGTTAGCCATTTTGGTCAACATCTCGACCAACAGTTCTGTCTCATCGATATAGTCCACAATCATGGATAGGGTGTACATAACGCTTGTTAAGTGTGCTATAAAGCGCTTATTTTCTCTCAACTCGGCTTTGGGTACATTTTTAATAGCCTTAAATAGACCCTGGTATGTAGGGTTCTCGTCGAAAAATCTAAATCATACAATAAATTATAAAATAAATTAATTAAAATTAAAATTTTATTAATTTATAAGAATTTTTTGTGACTACAATTATCCAATATAAAATGTTAAACAATAATAGAAATAATCAGACATGGCACAACTTTTGTCCAATTAATAAAAACAATTTTTCTATAATTTTTAAATGTAAAATTAATTGAATACACTAAAAGTAAACGCTAGTTTGACTCTTTCCCTCTCAATTAATGTACATAAATACACAATAAATAATGACAAAATCATAAACAAACCTGATGAACAGATCGCTACCATTACCAATGATATCCTGTCGGACCAATTCCCATGTATTTCTCACAAAATCCTTCTCGGTCTTAGTCAGACCGGCCGCATCCTTTGGTTCAGACATTTTATGCAACTTTTTATGACAAAACTACAAAACAAAAGTTATACTAAAATTATATTTTAATTAAAACTGTTATATATTTAATTAAAATCAATGTGCGAAATAAATCAGATTTGACAGCACTTTATATACCATTTAAGTTATAAACATTTTTACGATAATTGCATTTCATATCATATGAGTGAAGGAAATTGGGTGCAAAATGCACGGCATATACTTAGCTCATACACGGCTTGCACTCAGATATTGTACACAAACTACTCATACATGTGTACATTGTACATTTTACACAAAAAAACAAGTTTGAAGTTGGGTAATTTCCCTAATAACACTATTTAAACTAAATTGTTGAAATTTTAAATCAATATACTCATTGTGATTTAACCATCTGCACATTTCTCTTTCTCACACATTCAAACATTTTTAAAATCAATAACAATAATATGACCTTGATTATAAGATAACAGTTTTAAACAAAGTTATCAAACTTGATATATTGCACAATTAAATATATGTTATAAATTATTAATGAAAATGATTAATTACTATTTAATGGCTATATTATATAGTCCTAATAATGTTATGTTATAAATTTAATAATTCTAAAATATGTTTTTACAAAAAATTTAATTTATTAATTGTATAAGAAATATATTTAGTAAAAATAAAATATTATGTAAAATAAAAATAATATTAGATAACAGAATTTTAACTACAAATATAACAATTATATTGTGAGTGTTGCTATTCAATCGGTAGTCCGGCATAGGTAAGTTTTATGTTATTGTTTTTGTCTAGAGTGTGCCCGTGTCTAAAATGTGCAATTAATGTTTTATTAACGTATCCTAAAAATATACAGTAGACACCACATGTAAAAAACATTAACTTTTGCATATCTCATGTATTGTAGTTTTTATAATCATAATGTCCAATATGATTTTAATTAATGTCCTAAATATAAGGTGAAATTAATATTCTTAACCCTCTCTCTCTCTCTCTCTCTCTCTCTCTCTCTCTCTCTCGTATCAAATGTCGCATAAAATGAGCGTCCATTTTAGCCGATGACGACGGCATCTGACAAAACACACATCAAATTATAAATCCTTAATATAATTCAAACCATTATTTTGTTTTTTCTCTCTTTTGTGTGTTTTTTGTTATCAAAGAAATCAATTGAATAAAAATTGAATTGAATTTCAAAATCTAAATTTGATTGCCGTTCGGACGGGTATTGTCGGCGACGACATCCATATAGCGAGTGATTGATCGCAAGATTTGCTTATTTTGACTCAAGAAATGTCTTTAAAACATTTCGATATACTTGCAGTCTCTCTCTCTCTCTCTCTCTACTACAGTTGACTTAATTAAAGTTGGTGTTTTCTAGCAAATGTCTAATGAGCTAATGTCTACTTATTACCAAAATATGTCTACTTATTGATTTAAATACTGTATTTATAATTCTGATTAATTTTTAACCTACTGTAAATTAAATTTTTTTAAA